ATGCTCTTCTCCTTCATTATATACACACACATTTTATCTTTGGAATAGAATAGAATAGAATAGAATAGAATAGAATAGAATAGAATAGAATAGAATAGAATAGAACAGAACAGAACAGAATAGAATAGAATAGAATAGAATAGAATAGAAATTTTTTATTGGCCAAGTGTGATTGGACACACAAGGAATTTGTCTTGGTGCATACGCTCTTGGAGTACATAAAAGAAAAGATACGTTCATCAAGAATCAAGAATCCAAAGTGCCCAAAATCACTGACAGTGAGTTGGGCAGCCATATAAATTGAATGAAAAAAAATGTGTTCCTAATGCTTCTGCTATATAATGAGTCTATTTAAAACTTATTTTGCTTTGTACAAACACTCATTGTTGGTTTCCAGAATGGTTGTGCTCTATCATCATGACCAAATACAGTCACTGATTGTACGGTATGGCTTGTTCCTTTTGATCCTAACATCATGTCCAAACACAGCTATTTAATATGGCTTTTGAACAGAGCTTTAAAAGGGGGGAAAATGGATATAAGAATGCTTCTTTTATAACTTTTTCTTTCCTAACCTTCCACCACAATTAATTAATTATATATCCCAATACCTTGAAATATCTTCTTGACTTTCAGTGGATGGGTAACTGTCATCCAGTGAGTCCGGCAGGGGATGATGTTCTAAGGTATTCTTTGTAAGTCCTCGACTGAAAATAAATAAAAATGTCATTTGCTTGGTGACACTGAATTTCTTCAAATCAGTAAACAGAAAGCATTAAAATCATTAGAAAGTGTATCGTATTCTCATTAACATCAACAGAAAATTCCTAGTTTATGAGCTACAAACCTTTTGCCAATGCTCTCTCTTAAAAGCACCCTGATCAACCCACCCGACCATAGTTCATGAACCCAAAAAAACTGAGGTTCACTCCAGCTCTGTAGAAAAATCAATCACGCTATGCAATCCTGACAAGGGAAATTTACTGTAGCCTTACAAGGTCCCAATTTTCCTAATAACTTTTGGTTAATAGGAAAGAAGGAAAGAATAGGAAAGAATATTTCAAAGAATATTTGAACAAGAAGTCCATGGATGTCCTAGCACTGTTATATAAATGTATATAATGCAGCGTTATTTCATGCCTCTCCTCCCTGAAATAAATTAAAAAAAACAAAGTTCTGGTTCAAACAAGGTGGGAATTATAGGTAATCCTCATTTATAACCAATTGTTTAGTAATCCATTTAAAGTTACAATAGTACTGAAAAAAAGGGACTTGTGCTTCGTTTTCACACTTATGATTGTTGAAGCATCACTAGTCACATGATCAAAATTCAGATGCTTGGAAACTGGCATGTATTTACGACAGTTACAGCATAATGAAGTCAAGTGATCACTATCTGTAAACTTTCCAGCTGGCTTCCAACAAGCAGTCAATGGGGAAGCCAGATTCATTTAACAATTGCAGTGATTCACTTAACATCTGTATAAAATGGTCGTAAAATGGGACAAAACTCTATTAACAACTGTCTTACTTAGCAACAGGTATTTTGGGCTTTGTTGTGGTTGTAAGTCAAGGACTACTTGTACTGCACTCATCTTTTTATTTAGCATGTTATGAGAACCCAGTTACTAATCATGGCTGTACAAACCCAGAAATGACTAAACTTGTGAAATCTCTGCTTTTCTTTGCATATTGTGCAAATGCAACCCAGAGGTGTAAGCAGTACATCATGCCTCAACAAATCATGGTTTAGTGCCCTAGTTTTAATTCTTCCTGAAATGATAAAGAGAAATCTGAACTGTAAGTTCATGCCACTGTAAGTGAAATATGCTATGCCTCTGCATTTCCGCTCCTCATGAAAATCATAAAGCTTTCCTGTCTGTTCAATGTAATGGGAAAGGTAATACTCTATCCAGGGACACGCAGATTGAAAGACCTCAGAAGTCAAGCTCAGGATCCAAAAAGATCTTGACAGATTTGAGCAATGGGCTCTATCCAAAAACATGAAATTTAATGTGGAGAACAGCAAGGTTTTATACCTAGGCAGGAAAAACCAAAGGCACAAGTACAAATTAGGCGAATCCTGGCTGAAAAACAGTAACTGTGAGAGAGATCTTGGCGACTTAGTGAACAATCACTTAAACATGAGCCGGCACCCAAAAAAGCCAGTACAATCCTTGATTGTATAAACAGAGGCCTAGAATCAAAATCATGTGAAGTATTAGTACAGCTATATAAAGCCTTAGTAAGGCCACACCTGGAATACTACATCCAGTTTTGGTCACCACATTGCAAAAAAAGATGTTGAGACTTTGGAAAAAGTGCAAAGAAGTACAACTAAGATCATTAAAGAACTGGAGACTAAAACATATGAAGAATTTGTAGAATTTGGGTATGGCCCAGTCTAGAGAAAAGAAGGACTAGGGGTGACATGATAGCAGTATTCCAGTATTTGAGGGGCTGCCACAAAGAAGAGGGGGTCAAATTATTCTACAAAGCACCAGAGGGCAGGACAAGAAACAATGGATGGCAAGTAATCAAGGAGAGAAGCAACCTGGAATTAAGGAAAAACTTTTCCTAACAGTGAGGACAATTAATCAGTGGAATGGCTTCCCTTCAGAAGTTGTGGGGGCTCCAATAGTGGAGGTTTTAAAGAAGAGACTGGCATCCAGTTTTGGTCACATCATTACATAAAAAGGTGTTGAGACTTTGGAAAAAGTGCAAAGAAGAACTAAGACGATTAAAGACCTGGAGGCTAAAATATGAAGAATGGATGGAGGATTTGGGTTTGGCTAGTCTAGAGAAAAGAAGGACTAGGGTGGACATGATAGCAGTATTCCAGTATTTGAGAGGCTGCCACAAAGAAGAGAGGGTCAAATTATTCTCCAAAGCACCAGAGGGCAGGACAAGAAACAATGGATGGAAAGTAATCAAGGAGAGAAGCAACCTGGAATTGAGAAGAAACTTCCTAACAGTCTGAACAATTAACCAGAGGAACAGCTTGCGGTCAAAAGTTGTGGGTGCTTCATCACTGGAGGTTTTGAAGAAGAGACTGGACAGTCACTTGTCTGAAATGGTATAGGATCTCCTGCTTGAGCAGGGGCCTGGACTAGAAGACCTCCAAGGCCCCTCCAGCTCTACTCTGATTCATTCATGATTGAGCCACTTGTCTGAAATGGTCTGGGGTCTCCTTCTTGAACAGGGGGCTGGACTAGAAGACCTCCAAGTTCCCTTCCAGCTCTATTCTGATTCATTCATGATTGAGCCACTTGTCTGAAATGGTATGAGGTCTCCTTCTTGAACAGGGGGCTGGACTAGAAGACCTCCAAGGTCCCTTCCAGCTCTACTCTGATTCATTCATGATTCAGCCACTTGTCTGAAATGGTCTGAGGTCTCCTTCTTGAACAGGGGGCTGGACTAGAAGACCTCCAAGGTCCCTTCCAGCTCTACTCTGATTCATTCATGATTGAGCCACTTGTCTGAAATGGTCTGAGGTCTCCTTCTTGAACAGGGGGCTGGACTAGAAGACCTCCAAGGTCCCTTCCAGCTCTATTCTGATTCATTCATGATTGAGCCACTTGTCTGAAATGGTCTGGGGTCTCCTTCTTGAACAGGGGGCTGGACTAGAAGACCTCCAAGTTCCCTTCCAGCTCTATTCTGATTCATTCATGATTGAGCCACTTATCTGAAATGGTATGAGGTCTCCTTCTTGAACAGGGGGCTGGACTAGAAGACCTCCAAGGCCCCTTCCAGCTCTACTCTGATTCATTCATGATTGAGCCACTTGTCTGAAATGGTCTGGGGTCTCCTTCTTGAACAGGGGGCTGGACTAGAAGACCTCCAAGGCCCCTTCCAGCTCTACTCTGATTCATTCATGATTGAGCCACTTGTCTGAAATGGTCTGGGGTCTCCTTCTTGAACAGGGGGCTGGACTAGAAGACCTCCAAGGCCCCTTCCAGCTCTACTCTGATTCATTCATGATTCAGCCACTTGTCTGAAATGGTCTGGGGTCTCCTTCTTGAACAGGGGGCTGGACTAGAAGACCTCCAAGGCCCCTTCCAGCTCTACTCTGATTCATTCATGATTGAGCCACTTGTCTGAAATGGTCTGAGGTCTCCTTCTTGAGCAGGGGGCTGGACTAGAAGACCTCCAAGGTCCCTTCCAGCTCTACTCTGATTCATTCATGATTGAGCCACTTGTCTGAAATAGTATAGGATCTCCTGCTTGAGCAGGGGGCTGGACTAGAAGACCTCCAAGGCCCCTTCCAGCTCTACTCTGATTCATTCATGATTGAGCCACTTGTCTGAAATGGTCTGAGGTCTCCTTCTTGAACAGGGGGCTGGACTAGAAGACCTCCAAGGCCCCTTCCAGCTCTACTCTGATTCATTCCTGATTGAGCCACTTGTCTGAAATAGTATAGGATCTCCTGCTTGAGCAGGGGGCTGGACTAGAAGACCTCCAAGGCCCCTTCCAGCTCTATTCTGATTGATTGATTGGAGCATTTCCCAACGAAGCCCAGAGCTCACTCCTCTCACAGACCTGGGATTTGACTAACCTCCCTCCCGCCCAAGGATGCGCCCCGCTTGTCTTTTAAGAAATCTGCAGCAGGCGCGGGTGTGATGCTGCCTCAAACCGCTAGGGGGAGCCCTCCTCCCCGGCAGCCCTCGAGCCAAAGGACGTGGGAATAACCCAGAGGAATTTCGAGAGAGGCGGCGGCGAAGAAAGCCTCGTCAGGCCGCCGCAGGGCTCCCTGGAAGGCAGACCGCTTCTCCGGAAGGGCTGGCAGCGCCTGGGAAAGGCTCCGAGGGACCCGCGCCTCGGGTTTGGCCCAAGAGAACGTCACTCACATCCCCTGGACGTCGGGGGGCACCGGCTTCCGGGTGTATCGCGAGATCATCCTCCCGCCTCAGCGGCTCATCTCGGTCCTCGTCGGCGCAGCCGGCTGGCCGGCTCGGCCCCGGCCGCCATGGCGACGCCCCCTCCTTCTCTTGCCTCTCCGGCCGAGCGGAAGTCTCTTCTCTATGGTGGCGAGAGGGGAGGGAGGGCCGCGGCGCGCAGCGATGACGTCAGAGCAGCTTAGAGCGCCCAGGCGGTGAAGTCGGCGGCCCTGCGGTGAGTGCCGGTGGGTCGTTTAGTCTCAGAGCGGAGCTGCTGCTTCTTGGCGGGGCGTCCATTTTTTTTCCCCCCTCTGGTTTATCGGCAGCAGTACGGGAATATCCATATTTATCTAGAAAAGAGGAAGAGGCGGGGATGTTTAATAAAAGTTTGCCGTTGTTCCTTTGCGAAGACTAAAGCAACTTCAAAGCCAATGAAGTAACTTATTTATGTAGCTCTTCGTTCAGAGGTCTTCAAACATGGCCGCTTTAAGACTTGTAGACTTCAACTCCCAGAATTCTCCAGCCAGCTATGCTGGCTGGAGAATTCTGGGAGTTGAAGTCCACAAGTCTTAAAGCGGCCATGTTTGAAGACCTCTGTCTTCGTTGAATTGAAAAGAGTGCCTGAGAGGAAATGGGAAAGTCAGAATAGAGCTGGAAGGGACCTTGGAGGTCTTCTAGTCCAGCCCCCTGCTCAAGCAGGAGACCCTATACCATTTCAGGCAAGTGGCTGCCCAGTCTCTTCTTCAAAACCTCCAGTGATGGAGCACCCAGAACTAATGGAGGCAAGCTTCTCCATTGATATTGATTGCTCTCACTGTCAGGAAATTTCTCCTTAGTTCTAGGTTGCTTCTCTCCTTTCTTGTCTTCTGGTGGTTTGGAAAATAAATTGACACCCCCCCCCCCCTTTCTGTGTGGCAGCCCCTCAAATACTGGAATACTAGTCCTTTTTTTTTTTTATTTGATTTATATGCCGCCCTTCTCCGGAGACTCAGGGCGGCTTACAATGCGCTAAGCAATAGCCTTCATCCTTTTGTATATTTATACAAAGTCAGCTTATTGCCCCACAAACTGGGTCCTCAATTTACCTACCTTAGAAAGGATGGAAGGCTGAGTCAACCTTGAGCCTGGCGAGATTCGAACCTGCAGTAATTGCAGGCAGCTGGTCTTAATAACAGGGTGCTTTAGACCACTGTACTACCAAGGCTCTTTCTCTAGACCAGAGGCCTGCAACCTTAAAACACTCAGAGAGCTATTTGGACCTGTTTCCCCCAAAAAAGAAAACACCAGGAGCCACAAAACCCTTCCCATGCCTGACTATTTCTTAAGCGGCCACAAAACTAGGATATGTAGTTGAATTAAATGTTCTGTTTTCTTCTGAAACTTTTCTTGGATTTATCCATGGTTGGCATACCGGGGGTTGAAAAGCTCAATAAATCACGTGCCAGTGGATGTTGCACATTGGTGGTTGCGACGCATATTTTGAGTGACGGGGAGCCGCAGCAGAGGGGTGAAAGAGACACATACGGCTCCAGAGCTGCAGGTTACTAATCCCTGATTTAGACTAGCCAAACCCAAATCCTGCAACCGTTCTTTATATATGTTAGTCTCCAGGCCTTTCATCATCTTTGTTGTTCTTCCCTGCACTTTTTCCAAAGTCTCAACAACATTTTTGTAATGCGGTGACCAAAACTAGATGCGGTATACCAGGTGTGGTGTTACTAAGGATTTATAAAAACAATAAAAGGGATTCTTTTTAAAGGATGATTCATTCTAAGATTGACAAATCAGTTGGGTAGCAATAGCAAATAGTTCATTTGTTTCCATACTGGCATTTTAATATTGGGGCAAAGTTTATAGAAACGGCTTTAAAATGTTTCTCTTTTTAAAGGGGCCTGTGTGATGCAGAATGGAGAAGGAGCTAGGTTTTGTGACTGTTGACGATGCAGTCCATTACCAGTTATTCCTGATACATGAATCAGAAGACACAGAACATCATCAAGACATCCTACAGCAATATATTGAAAGAATACTAGCACATTTTGCCCCTATCCTGGTTTCCTACATCTGGCAAAATGAGTCATTTAATCTAAAGTACAAACCTGCAAAAGGTAAAACAATTACCAGTATATCTACTTCTGTCTTTATGCACACTAGCAATTCTACTGTAACATTATCTTCCTCCTTAAGCACTGGATATTTTGAAAAATGAGGGGAGAAAGTGGTATTCTCACTGTGCTGGTGGCAGTGTTCTTCACAGCTTATTTTCTCAAGAAACAACATGGTTATTGTTTATGTTTCAAATTGAGATAGCTTGAAACTGGTTAAGATTTAATAGTCATACAAAACTTTTTTAATATAAAAAACAGCCTTATGTTAAGTTTTTATATTATATGTTTATCTGTTGTTTAAAAAGGTAAAATTACAAACACTCTTAAGCCAAAGTCGATTAAACCATGGACGGCAAACAGTTTGCCAACCCCCATTTTTCTTTACCCACAACATCCCCAAATCACATGCCAAAATTTGGTGACAAAATTGCCAACTTTCAGTAATGCAGTTTTCCACAGCAAAGCTGTCATTTTTGGCAGCATAAAAAATTGGGAAAAACAGGAAAAATGTAATTCTCCAGTGACTTCAATGAGATATGCTCCTAAGCCCTTTGAAGGGCAGTCAGGCCAAAAGGATCGCCCATACCCGTTCAGTTGTTTATCCTAATTGTGAGAAAATTGTACTATTCCTTTCTCTTTCTCTTGCCCCTGCTGTTTCTTTGCTTTATCTTGATTATCTTCTTGTCAATCTCTAGTACTGAATACAGAATTTTTTAAAAAATAGTGTTAATTGTGTAAAATAAGTTGTAACATATTGTTACCCCGCAAGATTTAAATGCAGACAAAGAGTAGTACGAAGGAGGGGAAATGAAGCCGCTGTGTATATGTGAAAAATTTGCAGTTATTCAAGTAATATTTTGACATGATTACAATAAGATATCCGTTCAAAGCCACAATTGGGCCCAAAATTTCTGTTGCTAAGAGAGACAGTTGTTAAGTGAGTTTTCCTCATTTTATGACCTTTCTTGCCATAGTTGTCAAGTGAATCACTGCAGTTGTTAAGTTAGTAACAATGGTTAAGTGAATCTGGCTTCCCCGTTGACTTTGCTTGTCGGAAAGTAGCAAAAGGTGATCACATGACCCTGGGATACTACGACTGTCATAAATATGAACTAGTTTCCAAGCATCTGAATTTTGATCATGTGACCATGGGGATAACTGTGAACAATTTTGATCCCATATCATGGGGAGGCTGCAATGGACATAAGTAACTCTTTTTAGTGGCCATTGTAATTTTGAATGGTCACTAAACAAATGGTTGTAAGCCAAGGACTACCTGTACTTAAAAGCTGTCAGACTGCTCTGGGAATCTATTTACAGTGTTTGTTAAATAACGAAGAGAAAGTTAAATCTCTAAAAATAGCAAACTTTTGCTACATTATGTATAAGTTTGTCTCACAAATGGTGGCTAATAATTATTGTTAGGGGGATTGTTTTGTGTTGTTTTATTGATTGTACTTTTATTGGTCAACTGATTTAAATCAAATTCTTCTGTCTGTCACTTTAGTTTGTTTGTTTTTGTATGGATGGATTGAATGTTTTAGGCCCAGGCATATGCTGTTTAAGTTTTGGTATTAAGTTTCACTGCTTTTAATCTTTTATGATCTGTCCTGAGTTGCTGTAAATTGATAAATAAGATACTGATACTAGGATTGACTGCCAAATGTGTTTTGGAAATAATCTAATAACGTCTGTTCTTTCTAGGAAATCTACCTGCTCATATTGCTGGTCACACAAAGTTTGGAGATAACATTGAAGATGAATGGTTTATTGTTTACCTCATAAAGGAAATTACAAAGGAATTTCCAGAATTATTAGCTAGGTATTTTTATTTGCTGATTACATAGACGATTTTAATTGCTCTTTGTAACGCGTCTGCAAAGCATTTTTTGTAGACATTTTACTGAAATAAAATTTGGAGGGGGGGGTTCTGTGAATAAAGACTGCATTAAAGCATGATATCCATATTCATTGAATTAAATTAGGACACAGTAATTCCATATTATGAGTGAATACTTTTTATTTGAATAGAGTGGATGATAACGATGGTGAATTCCTTCTGATAGAAGCAGCTGACTACCTTCCAAAATGGTTGAGTCCTGAAAACAGCATCCATCGGGTAAGAGAGTTAAGAATGTCAAATACCTAAAAAGCTAAATTTATAGGTATATATATTGTAATCTTATTTTGAATTTCTTCATTATTGTTTTCTGTGAGATCTTGGAAGACTTTACCCTTTCAGTCATAGACTTGATAATTTTTGAGACACTATCAAAAAACTGTCAGATTTAATAACTGTGTATATATATATATTTTTGTCAGGTGTTCTTTCATAGTGGAGAATTATGCATAATTCCATTACCAAATACTCCTGAAAGGAAGAAATTACTACCTGGTATAAACCCTACAATTCCCCAGGTCCTGAAATTGTTTTCTGGCCATTCTGAGGATTTTGTGGCTTCAAAATCTATTAAAGCAGCAGTATATAAACGAATCAAAGGGTAAGTGACTGAATCTGTATATACATATTCAGATATAAATATCCTGTTTCCCCCACAATAAGACATCCCCTGATAATAAGCCCAATCGGGCTTTTGAGCGCATGGCAATAAGACCAAGCGCTTATTTCAGGGTTCAAAAAAATATAAGACAGTCTTATTTTTGGGGAAACACGGTAACAAAATATATACTGTTACAACTGTATATACAATACCTAATATGCTGGTTCATATACATTTATTTATAGAAGTTATTTTTATTCATATATTGGGAAGTAACATCATGCAACATTTTACTGAAATAAAAATAAATAAAACATTGCAGATTATCCAGTTCTCCCCTTTATATTCTAACCTATAAGAAGAGTTGTCTCTACCATGATTATGTCTCTTATTATTATTTTTTTTGCACCTCGTTGCAATTTTGTGCCATAGGTATCCTGAGAAGATCCAGACCTTTCTTCATCAAGCTCACTGTTATCTTCCAGCAGGCATTGCAGTAGTTCTCAGGCAGCGTCCTGCGTTAGTGTCAGCAGCAGTCCAAGCTTTTTACCTTCGAGATCCCATTGATTTAAAAGCATGCCGCATTTTCAAAACCTTCCCCCCTGAAACATGTGTGATGGCATCAGTAAGTGCGGATTAAACTTCTGAGTTAGTCTTCACAATTAATTCACCTTATTGTATGTGATTTACGAATGATTTATTTGGGGTTTTAATTCTAACTTTAAGTCTAACCTAACTTGTCTAATCTCCCATCTCTTGTATAATTCTACAAGAGATTGGAGATTAGGCAAATTAGGTTAGTCTTGTACTGTAGAGTTATAATTATACCATAATTACTATATAGTATAATTATAGTATAATTACTATAATGGAATTATACTATAATTCTATAATCTCTTGCTTGCTCTTCCATAATTCTTCAAGGAATGTCGCAAAGGTGCTTTTTCTGGAGGCAACTGGACTTTCTTGTTTTTTCTTTGAAGATGTTTCACTTCTCATCCAAGAAGCTTCTTCAGCTCTGACAGGATAGTGGGGAATGGAAGGATTTATATCTCTTGCAGACAGCTGGACATTTGCATCCTTTTAGAGCAGTGTTTCTCAACCTTGGCAACTTGAAGTTGGGTGGACTTCAACTTCCAGAACTCTCCAGTCAGCTATGCTGGCTGGGGAATTCTGGGAGTTGAAGTCCATTCATCTTCAAGTTGCCAAGGTTGAGAAACACTGTATTAGAGGGTCATTGAAGCACTTGGGGGTTTATCTATGTCCTCAGGATCACCTGAGTAGTGCTCCTGGTCCCTGTAGTCTGCAATTTTTTTCTCTGGAAATCCATTCCTACTCCCACACCATTCAAAGGGTGCTCAACCCAAACTGTATAGATAAACGTCTGTAGAGATTCTCAGTCATCCAGGTCATGGTTGTCTCAAAGGTACTTTTTTTGGAGGCAACTTTCTTGTTTTTTCTTTGAAGATGTTTTGCTTCTCATCCAAGAAGCTTCTTCAGCTCTCACAGGATAATGGTGAATGGAAGGATTTATATCTCTTGCAGACAGCTGGTCTTTATTAGAAGCAAAACATCTTCAAAGAAAAAACGAAGTCCAGTTGCCTCCAGAAAAAGCACCTTTGGGACAACCAAAGCCTTGGTGGCGCAGCAGACTAAAGCACTGTTAAGTAACACCAGCTGCCTGTAATTACTGCAAGTTCAAATCTCACCAGGCTCAAGGTTGACTCAGCCTTCCATCCTTTCAAGGTAGGTAAAATGAGGACCCGGTTTGTGGGGGCAATAAGCTGACTTTGTATAAAAAAGAACACCGCTTGGGGGGGTCGAAAGCCCTACTAAGCAGGTATATACAAAAGTATGAAGGCTATTGCTTAACGCATTGTAAGCAGCCCTGAGTCTCCGGAGAAGGGCGGCATATAAATCGAACCAATAAATAAATAAAACCATGACATGGATGACTGAGAATCTCTATAAACTTCTTCAAGTAATATTTCAAGTAGTCCTCACTTGGCAACTACCTTGGACAGCGGCCATTCACACAGTCCTGACCTTTGTGACCAATGCCCTCATTCACAACCCTTGCAAGTCTGTAAAGCAAAGGAGGGCCGAAATAAAATCACGATGCTTCACTTAGCCACTTAATGTCAGCCCTGACAGTGGTTGCCAAACAAGGACTAACTGTAATAGGCTGAAACAGGTTCAAATAAGTTTTCAGAAAAGTGAATCTTTAATGAAATATTCTGATATTTTCAGGTTACTTTGACAAAGTGTCTATATGCACAACTGGTTCAACAGACATTTGTACCAGACAAACGGAGTGGCTACTCGTTACCTCCTCGTTCACATCCTCAATACAAAGCCTATGAATTAGGCATGAAATTGGTAAGTACCTTGACCCTTGAATATTTTTACAACAAAATATTAATTTCAAGATATAGACACACAAACCCTGTAGAGGCACACAAGCAAACACATAGGCACCCAAAGACCAGAACTGTACACAAACTAAAGTCATTTTTAAAAAAAATACATATAGTAGAACTATCTGAGGTTTTCGCGGGTGTTTGTATGTAGGTCTTTGGTTATTAGGTATTTGGTTATATATATATATGTAGGTCTTATTTGGTTATAAAACCTACATATATATATATGTAGGTCTTTGGTTATTCGGGGTTTCTCCCGCGTAAAATTGGAAGTGTCATTGCTCCTAGAAGCACGAAGCCAAAAACACCAGCCTGAAGATGACGAATGAGACTTCGTCAAAACATCGCCAACACACTTCCAATTTTATGCGGGAGAAAACCTGAATAACCAAAGACATACGAATACCCGCGAAAACCTCAGAAAACAAATATATATATATATATATAAAAATAGGATTTATTCAGGTAGCCTGGCGCTTGTGGCCTCAAGACTGTAATTGTCATACCTGAGTATCAAGATAAAACTTAAAACATAAAACTGTTTTATTAATTTCACTTCCCCTGCTTTGCAAGAGGGAAGAACTTTGCATGGTTGCAGTGGCCTGAGGATCTACTTAAGAGAGGGCATTAACATAGGATTTAGAGAAGTATTTAAAGTGGGTAAGTTCTTTTAAGTAATTTGTAGGAAAATCTCTTGATGTTGGATATAAACATTTGGTTGTTTCAGAATAAGGTGTTTTGTTAGCTAATATTAAATCAAAATCTTATTAAGATAATGCTCAATTTATCCCATTATTCAGCCTTTTTAACTTGACAGAAGCATACGCATCATTCTCTAATATTCTATATTAATTCTTCATTAAAAGAATGCAATAAGAACTATAAATATTCCCCTAGATATAGCAGGGCATCTCCCTTTACAGTCATTTGGATTTCGACTCTAGTTTTCCCTGTGTATTTTTATTCCAAATCATCTTTTAAGGTATTTCATCTAAAGATTGTTCTCTGGCAGGTGGCAGCACCTAGCTGAGTTTAGTTAATCTTGACAAATAAGCCAGTTTGGACCTATTAATAGTTGGATGAGAGACCACCAGCTCATTTTAGGGCTGTAGATTGGATTAGGAAGAAAAAGAAATCCATCACAGAAAATGGCCGCAGTAAACTACTTCTTTATACTCTGTATAATTGCTAAGCAAACAAGTTGTTGTTTCCACAGAGCGACCAGATTTTAAAGTTCAATACAAAGCAAATGTCCTTACTTTGAAAATGTATTGCAACAATTCTAACATTAAGATGCGAATATTATACAGTTGGTTTTTCCCCCCCCCCCCCTATTTTGTTCACAGGCTCATGGCTTTGAAATTTTATGCTCAAAGTATAGTTCAGCTTCTCCTGATTCCAAGAAACAAATACTGAATGTTCCATTATGGGATAGCTTTCTCAGGGCTCTCCAGAAGAACAATTATTTTAAGGTGAGATATGTATATAAATTGGAAGCAAGCAAACCTGCCTTAGCTCTTCAGTGAAGTGATCTGTTGTTGATATAATGTTGCCATACTTTAAGCCATAGCCTAAATTTATATTTTAAAAGGAGCAATGTCCACACCACCCTGGGCTGTTAACATAATGGTGGAATATAAATCAAATAAAAAAATATTCATTGCATATTCATAATAAAATAATACCTTCATCTTTGATGTTCAAAATGCAATCTACAACAGGATAGTTTGCAATTGTCTCGGTTGTTAAGATTCATTCTTCTAGGTTGTTTCTGTGGTTTAAAGGTGATTTTAGGGGTTTTAACAAGACCATACAGCTTCGTGGAATTAAGCCATTTTTGGACTGCTAAATGTCTTGTTTGCTTTCTGTTGACCATAAACATATGTGCAATTCCTTATATATGCGTACACTCACAAACAAGGTTGGAGAAGTTCCAACTATTGAAATTTTTGATTGAAAGGTATTTTGGAATATTTTTTGTTCAGTTCCTAATAACACAGTTCAGCCCTTGTTTATATCACGAATGTTTATTAGATACATTCAATCATGTCTTTGATAGGTTTATATCATTGTGATATGTAGTATTACCTTAAAAAAACAATAGTTGGGTTCTAAGCATGACACAACAAAGTAGAAATGATTAGGGTTATGCAAAACCACTGACTGATTTGATTTGACAAAGCTCATTGGTTTTCTTGTTGCAGACATTTCATTATCCAACTCTGCAATATCATTAGCACTGATAAAATTACCTAGTTTGGTAATGAATTGTCTACAAACCATCACACTCCGAGAGCATCAAGGATCCCACAGTTCAACCCTGAGCTACAAATGTTCTCTTTTATACGTCTGATTTAATTGCAAACAGAAAAATATTTAGCTTCTTCAGACCTTTTACCAGCAAAACAACTTTTGTGCTTTTGCAGAAAGTGTTTCACCATCTTGGTATAATATATTGTAATTGTAGATTAACAGATTTTTGTATATTCCTTTGTGGGTATCTGACTCAAACCTACATTGACTATTGTTTTTTTTTTCCAAAGGGGGAAATAGAAGGTTCTGCTCAGTATCTTCATCAGTTGCAAATGGCAGAAAACTATTTTCTACAGACTGTAACCAGCTCAGGAAGGTGAGATAAAATCGATTGTGTTTAATTTTCTAGGTTTGGTATTGCTAATCTCTGTGCATGATTAAATATGTATTACTCATGCTGGCTTAATACACTACTTATGGGTATTTCTAGATCGTTTGTCTTGTGTAATCTGATCAATGTTTCTTCCCCAAAGAAAGATGTGTGATCTTCTAGAAATCAATGTAAATGCAATAAGAAACCACTGCCGAACATAGGTATTTTTGGAACCGTCTGAGAGAAAGCCATATGAAACTCAATTGAGTGTATTCATTTCAAATATAGTATTATATTTGAATGCAGAATTCTGGAATTAAAATAATTAAAGTGCTAATGTATTAAAGCCAAGTTATAATTTGTTATAGTTATCCATTTTGATTTATAAGTTCTGAAAATATTAGAAATGTGGTTCGGAAAGAATATTTTCATTGATAACACTCAATTGGGACAAATGTCCAATCTTAGTCAAAAATAAACCCAGAATACAGAATAACAGTTGGAAGGGACCTTGTAGGTCATCTACTCGAACCCCCTGCTCAAACAGGAGACCCTATACCAGTGAGGGCTAACCTTTTTGTCACGTGCCGAAAGTGTGCAGGCACCCATAATGCAATACACGTACGACCCCCTGCGCGCCCCGTGCATGTGCATCCCACGCATGTGCATGTGGCCGCCCCATGCATGCAGACTCCAAGCTCCCCCATGCATGCATGACCCCCCATGTGCCCTGCACATGCATGTGCGATTCCAGCATATGTGAGACCCGCCTCCTTGCGCATGTGCATCTGTCTCCATACGCCATGTGCATTCGCAGCAGAGATCCGAAAACCAGCAGGCCAGCGGGAGGTGCATGCACATGCGAGGTGGAACTGAGTTGGGGTGACGGCTTGTGTGCCTGCAGAGAGGGTTCTGCGTGCCACCTGTGGTACGTGTGCCATAGGTTCGCCATCATGGCCCTATACCATTTCTGACAGATGGCTGTCCAGTCTTTTCTTGAAAGCCTTCAGTGATGAAGCTCCCACAACTTCCGAAGGCAAAGCTGTTCCTGTCAGCGTCCCAGCACTGACATATATAAAGAGAGAAGAAGCTTGAACTTTTGCCTACTAAATCCCTTTGAAGATTCTGTCTCCTCGGAGATGGAATGGGGGGAGACATTCCTGTGATCTGACGAAGAAGAGATGGGGAAAGTGGCTTGGAAGATAGCCAATGAGAAGCAGAGAATTGGGGATCAGAAAGGGAGGGATTGGGGGGTAAAGGTCAGTACTGACCGCGAAAAGAGCCAGGATCAGATCGCTGTGCTCAATAAAGAGAAAATTTCCTTAAAGATCGGCAGTTTGGAAATTCATTTATTTTGAGATAGTATTGAAACCTGACAGTTCCACTGGTTGATTGTTCTCACTGTCAGAAAATTTCTCCTTATTTCTAAGTTGAATCTCTCCTTGTTCGGTTTCCATCCATTATTCCTTGTCTGCCTTCGGGTGCCTTGGAAAATAGGTTGTCTCCCTCCTCTCCTTTCTGACATATTTATATTTATACAGAGGTCGTAAAAATAATTCTACATCATGATACAATTACAGTCATAGGAATAATAGTATGTTTATAGCTATAAAAATCCTAAACCACCTGTCTAACTTTATTAATCAGGTTTACACAAAAGGGCCCTATCACCAATCTTTTCTAACTCCTGTTCTGAACATCCACTCTCAACTATTTCAGTCAGTCAGTCAATCTTAGGTCTAGTGAGTTCTATCAACTATTCCTAAGATGTTCTTGAGCGATGTGGTGGCCTAGGGGTGGAGCTCTCGCCTCACAATCAAAGGCAAATATTTCTCTCTCTGGGTGCAATGAGTAATTACTTGTGAATTCTGCGTAGGTGTCAGGAAGGGCATCAGGCCAGTAAATGCTCAGCTCCCGGCGCCCTGACCCCACCCTGAAGCAAGAGATTGCAGGGTCACTAAAAGAAAAAAAAACCCTAAACTATTCTTCTTGTTGTTTTCAATAACTAATTATAATGTTATAACCCAAATTACAGCATTATAAACGATAACAAAATTTATAGCAAATTATGATCCTGGGCTTGAAAATGATGTTAAGTGAGAGGGAGGGAAATCACACTTTCCAAATAATATAGAATCACAACCAAATATTTAACCCATTTGCTTTGTGAAAAGCTTGTTTTTAGGTAGTCCTTGCCTTATAACCACAATGGAGCCCAGAATTTTGGTCATATGTCACTGCAGTCATTATGTTGAGATACCACATGACTGGTTTCAATTTTACAACCCTTTTTACGATAACCATAAAGCAAGCCACTGCAGTTAAGCAAATCAAACAGTTATTAAACAAACCATGTGTATGCAAATCCAGCATATCCATTAGCCATTTTCTACTGGAAAGTGTAAATGCTTATAAATATAAATGCTTATAAATATAAATGCTTATAAATGTGAGCCAGGTGCCTGAAATGCAGGGATGGCAGCAATATAACTTCAAGGTCAGCTCTTAAGTAGCTTTTTTGAAGTCCATTGTAATTTTGAATGATCATTAAGTGAGGACTACCTGTAGGGTACGAAAAGCAATTCTTTCTACTAGTTGAGTTTATGACTGGATCAGATGTGGAAAAGTAATTCTAAACATTACCAGTTCAATATGTTTAATTTTGTATTTCGGTGTTGTATTTCTTTTAATAGCTCAGTTGCTGTTAGCCCAGGCGAAGAAATTCTGACGATATTAAAAAAAAATTCCTTTAATTTGGAGGATTTGAAAAAGAGCTCAGATGTTCTACCTCCAGAGGATGGTAAGTAGTGGGAGAGTTTTAAAAATAACAATCAAGAGTTACAGAAACATGTAGATTTTTATTTTATTTTATTCATTGATTTTTGTTCTTCTTGCTCTTTTGGCCATCCTAAAGGAATGAAAACGACATTTCATTAAATACTTTTAAGGCAGGGGCCCCAACCACCAATCTGCAGCCCATTAGGAACCAGGCCACGCAAGAAGCTCCATTCACACAAGCGAAACCATCCCCTCTTCCCAAGCTGCCAGTCCACAGAGCCAAAAAGGTTGACAACCACTGCCTTAAGGGCAGGAGTGGGTTCTACTTCCCTTACTACCGGTTCACAACAGGAGCGCATGTGCGTGCTTGCTTTGTTCACCCATGCACGCTTCTGCATATGCGCAGATCACCTATGATGATGTCGTGGCGGGTGGGCAGAGCCTCCTGCTGGTTTTACTACTGGTTCTATAGAACCGGACCAAACCGGGAGCAACCCACCCCGGCTTAAGGGTATTAAATACCTTTCTTCGTAGGATGCCGTAGAACAGAGTTTGAAATGCTACAACTGAGATTAATCAAATGTATGGGGATAGTGATTTTTTAAAGTATCTAATTACAATCCCAGGACCATTCAATATTGAAAGTTGTCTCCCAGAGTTGTGGGTACCCCATTGCTGGAGGCTTTTAAGAAAAGATTTAACATTCATTTGTCCAGGATGGTATAAGATCTCCTGCCTTGGGAAGGGAATTGGACGGGAAGACCTCCAAGGTGCCTTTCAACCCTATGGTTCTAGGTTTGGTTCTACTCACAACATTAGGATATTATTATTGTTTATTAGTCTATCATCGTTGCTGTTTTCACACTATCATCTGAACTTCCAACATAATAATGTTGTAAGTTCAGAGGATAGACTGAGAAAACACTATTGTTTTATGATCCTTATTAACACTAGATAAAATAAACCAGAATAAGCTGTGCTTATCCTTGCCAGATCCAAATTTGATTATAGTTAGGAATTCTCTTAAAGATTTATTTGAACCACTATATCATAGCTAAACTAGGAACTGAATGAAATCACTCTGTAAGGAGGAGCAGGCAGTCTGACAGACTGGAATAATATCGCATCGGAATGTTGGATTGGGCACATATAATACCATTTTTGTCGTATCTTATATTGTTAATATCCCAACTCAGTAGCATATGAGGACCTAATAGTAAGGCAGCTGTGTTGAATATAAGACATATGCAAACTCTGGAAAGTATTCTGATGATTCTGAATTTGGCATATAGCAACATGGCTTCATTCAGACTTAGTCAGCTCTGTCACATTTTCTGCAAAAAACTAAAAGCTTTTTTGGATATTTCAGATTTTCCTAATATATGTGCAGCTGTTTGCAACTTTCATATATGTTTTCATTTTTACAGTTAGCAGTATTATTATTATGTGTTTATTATCTGTAAGCCACTCAGAGTCACAGTGTGCAGCTGTATAAATTTGTTTAATAAATAAATAAATATCCTCACACTACATGCTACTCTTTTAGATGACAGTTGGTTGGAGATTTCTCCAGATGCTCTGGATCAGATTCTTAAGGAAACATCTGGCACAAATCAATCTGCTTCTGCCTCAGAGGAAAAGCAGAACTATGACTTGACTGAGGTTGCTGAAAGCATGAAGGCTTTTATATCCAAAGTCTCAACATACGAAGGAGCAGAAATGCCACGGTAGGTTAGATATATAATATGCTTCCATATAATGTAATAATTTCTGTATTGATGAATCATTTTCAAATAATGTAAGCCAAATTTGTGAAAAGATCAAATTTGTATCTGTCAAAAACAATTGTTACTTGGTAAATTATCTTTTAAGCGTTTACAAAATTATTGGCTTCAACTTTTGCTTAGTTTCCTGGAACTGAACTTCATTTGAATTTGAAGATTTCTGCCAGAAAATAGGTGGCAAAACTCATTCTATAGAACATGTAAAAAATAGCCAGAATAAAATGATATAGAACAGTGGTCCCCAATCTTTCCACCTTGGCAGCCAAGTCTGGTGTGGGGCAGTGTGCGAGTGGCAGGCACACCCACACAGCTCCATTGGTGCAAACAGCGGGTACACTCCCTTTATTAGAGAGATTGCCAGGGAGGGCAGACGACTTTTATGTAGGCTTTCTCCTCCAGGACTCAAACCCGGCTGTCATGCGTCCAGTGTCAAAATTCTGTGTTTTAAATGTCCACAAGAAACAAATTGGTTACAGAATTATAGCTGTCAACTTGTGCCAATTTTTAGGATATCTCTAACAATTTTTGGAAAATTATATTTACTCACATACCGTGTTTCCCCGAAAATAAGACCCTGTCTTATATTTTTTTGAACCCCGAAATAAGCACTTGGCCAGGGATGAAATGCTCCCGGTTCGAACCGGATCACCTGATCTGGTAGTGATGGCGGCAGGTGGTTCGGAGAACCGGTAGCAAAAATCCCTGCCCCCCCACCATGCCCAGCTGAGCCGCGCAATCAGAGGCTTTTTTTTTAACTTTTAAAAGCATTTTTTCTACAACCTCTTCGGCTGAAAAAATGTTTTTAAAAGTAAAAAAAATTCCAAAAGCCTTTGATGATCGCGCGGCTCAGCTGGGATCGTCAGAGGCTTCTAAAAGCAGTTTTTTCTGCAACCTCTTAAGGTTGTAGAAAAAATGCTTTTAAAATTAAAAAAAAAAAGTTGGCCACGTCCACCCAGTCACATTACCCCCCCACACCAAGCCACGCCCACAGAACCGGTAGTAACAAATTTTACATTTCACCACTGGCTTGGCTTTATTTTTGGGGAGGTCTTATTATTTTGGGGCACATGTCTTACCTGATTTCCAGCTCTGTGTTTAAATATTTTCGGGGAGGGCTTATTTTCGGGGGGAGGCTCATTTTAGCGCATGCGGTCAAAAGCCCAATTGGGCTTATGATATCAGGGGATGTCTTATTTTCGGGGAAACAGGATATGTATCAGCTCTCCACTCACGTAAACTAGGGAGTGATCCTAATTGTTTGAAAACATATATTTTCTTAACAGGGATGTTATTATCCACTATTAATGTCAGCACTATTTTTTAATATATTGTAAACAGTGATGTCTATTGCTGGTCTATGACCATAATAAAGTTATATTCTATTCTACTATTCCCCTCATGCGAGTGGAGGGCACTTGAGCAAGAGGACGCTTGTGCTTTTGTGCGAAGCTCCATTCGTATGACCGAAGAGTGCTCGCAGGCGAGTGCCCTCCACTCATGGGAGTGGAGCTTTGCGCACAAGCACAAGGGCTCACGCGAGTGGAGCTGCACACTTGCCCATCGCTTGTGCAGCCCAGTTTCGATTGGGCTGCAGCCTGGTAGTGGGACAGGGCCTGAGGACCCCTGATGTAGAAGGTCTATACATGTGCCTGATTCAGGCAAATTGTATAACAGCAAAGAATTACTGCATCTTTAGTTTAATTAAATAGTAATTAAATAATGTATCTGTTCTAAATACAAGTTTGCTCAATCCTGCTGCCACAATCGATAGTGATGATTAACCCTTATGTTTAAATATAAGCCACAATGAAAAATAATGTTTAATATTTAAAAATAATATTTATGTGATCGATATTTATTTATAAAAATCTTTTTATCATCTGCATAGGAAAACATGCTGCAGTTCCATGCTGATTATTTTGTTAGGGACCTATCTAGACATTCAAAATAAAAGAGAGGGAATTGTCACCAAATCCCAGTGCATTTTGACTACCCTGTCTGCTCCAGAAAGGAGAGGAGAAGGGGTGAAAAGTCATTCTGACCACAGAAATTGCTGCTGATTCTAAGGAATCATTTCTGTATTATATCATTACTTCGAAAACCACCACCAACTTAAAATATAATTATGAATGCTTAACTTTCAGGTCTTCCGCTGAGGGCCCTGTTAGTTTTGATATTGACTCATTCACAGAGGCTTTGGATACTATCCTGGGTGAGTTGCCTGGAGCAAAGGGATTAGCAGAATCAAATTGTTTGGGTTTAAAGTTTCCCCCTCATCTCTGTCCTGGAGTCACACAAAGGGCACCGGTTTTGGATACCTCCCTTTCCCTCTCCCAGAGTATCACTTGCTTTTGGTCTTATTCTGACACCATTTCTGTGTTGCTTCTAGGGCCAAATTCAGAGGAGCTGGACTCTGATGATTTAGACGAAGAAGAAGAATTTGAATTCTTAGACAGCGATGAAGAGAGTGATTTAAAAGCCGATTCTCAAGGAGATGCAGCATCTTGGAATGAAACCACCGAAAATCTCCAAACATACATGAATGAAATGGATCACGAATTATCATCTACCACTATTGGCAAAAGCTTTACCAATCAGAAGAAAGGGGTACGTTTAAATTTAGACCATCTTTCTGGTGACTTAAGAGGAAGGAATGACTGTTGGGGTTATTTAGTTTTGTTTCCTGTAAGTCAGCTATAATATGAAATCACACAGGCTTTTTTTTTTCATTCTAAGTCCACTGTGTTAACAAAAATGCCTCATATTTTTCTCATATTGTTTTATTTAACATAGGAGAGATCCGGTAAAGTATTTCCACATGAAGACCCTAACACGGATTTGGAAGGCAATCAGAATAAAGAACATCCTGATACAACATCCGTGGACATTGATGTGAACCTTGTAACTAACTTGTTGGAATCCTATCATGCTCAAGTTGGATTAGCAGGACCTGTTTCTAACATTCTGCAGAGCATGGGAGTGCATTTGCCAGATAATACTGACCAAAAACCTCATTAGCAATTCATTGATGATTCATTAAACAAGGAAACCAATTCATTCATTGGTTTCCTTGTTTAAAGGATACATTGCTAAGTAAAAGTATTTTTTTTTAAACAAAAAACACCCTTCTCCAAAGATGCTTTTGCCTGCAGACCTGAATCATTTGGAATATCCTTCTCAACTACTTAACCATCTTGTGGAATCTGTTTTCTGAAATAATAATAATAATGGTAAAGTGCCGAGAAAATGGGACTCTTGCAAATATTTTTGAAATCCATTTTATACTCATTAAAATACTTGGAATTTTCTTGCAAACATCTTGAATTTTTTTTAAAAAAACAACAGAAAACTTTATCTACAATGTCTAATAAACGTTAAACAACTTTTCAGCAATCGGAATACATTGAAATAATAATATAGGGTGAGATACATTATTGTGAGATACATATATTAAAATCAAGTGACATAACAAAACAAGTATAAACATAAACAGTTACACATACAGAGAAGCAAATGCGTGTTTTAAATGCCTGAAACACATCACTCAGCATTCAAGAAACGAAAGGCATTAAATATTTTACAGATGCCTCCAAATTAGCAGTATTCCGAATAGCACCATCAGGAAGAGACTGCCTTGTAGCTCTTAGTGATTGAACTTAGTGATTTGACAGGTATGAGCAGGCAGGGTTATTGTTTATAAAATAAAGCAGTCAAAATCGGAGAAAGATTTTTGTTTCATTTCACTGTTTAAATACAGGTGAGTGGTGCAGTTACAGGCGACTGTTGCCATTACTAACTACAAAAAAGGTGTGCTCCTCAATAAGCATTTGTGCTTCTCAGCTTCAGAGCTGAAACTGAATTTGCATGCCAGCATTTAGGCTACAGCTTACATAAAGTTCAGGTCCACTCTATTAAATTTCCAAACTAGATGTTGATAAATTCTGCCATGAATCCAATTTTTTTTTTATTTTTTTGCTTTAATTTATATGCCGCCCTTCTCCGGAGACTCAGGGCGGCTTACAATGCGTTAAGCAATAGCCTTCATACTTCTGTATATTTATACAAAGTCAGTTTATTGCCCCCACAATCTGGGTCCTCATTTCACCTACCTTTGAAAGGATGGAAGGCTGAGTCAACCTTGAGCCTGGTGAGATTTGAACTTGCAGTAATTGCAAGCAGCAGATGTTAATAACAGTGTGCTTTAGTCCACTGTACTATAGGCTCTGGTTTTTTTTGTATTATTGTACAAGTACTTTCTTTTCAAATGTAAAAGGCTTGTCCTCTTAAGATTGTCTTTACATATATTCTGAATTGCGATTGTCTAGGAATCGCAGGAATCCCCAAACTCTTCAACTCATCACCCCTTCATCGACTCCCAAACATGTTAACATGTTATTAATAGCAGACAAACAATGAAACAAAAAACAATACACCAATCGAAGAACGACCAAGGAGAAAACTACACCCTCACCAACACTGGCAAGGCAAGCTACTGTATATAAACAGCAAACCCCTCACTAGCACTGATGATGTTTTCTCCTATTGGCTGTCACGGCAGTCATGCATGGGTGTTGCTACGGTGCTGATTGGTAGGACCGAGCCCACTGAATTTCTTAGTCCCGCCTCTTCCTGCCTCTCTTCAGTTTTTCGGCTCGGTCTGATCAGAATCAGTCGTGTCTATAGAATCCTCTCAAATTATCATCTTCTTTAGGCTTTTGACTCGGAACGGACTGGTTTTTTTCTCTGGCTTACTCCCTGGCTACGTTTGCTTCGATTTAAACCTTGGCGGCTAAATAGGCACGAGCGCGAGTTCGCTCCGCCGCGCTTCCCGGCTTTTCCGCAGGCTAGCATTGCTGCGGAGGACTGATTACAGACCCCTCGGATTCCATCGGGGTCTGTCCCGGGTAACTTTGTTTGTGACACAGGGAGAAGCGTGCGACTTCGGAGCTCAGCCCGATAGCCTTTCGGCGCGATTCACTCCATTGCCAGCAGGCTCCCGGTTCTCGCCTCTTTCAGCCGCAAGTCGCGTTTTAGCCGTCTGGCTAGCGACTATTTCAGCGACCGGTTCCCGATTGGATCCTCAGAGAAGGGGGAGAGCCTTCTCTGTGGGGGCACCTACCATCTGGAATGAGCTCCCCCCGGAGATACGGAGGATCCCGGATCTGCGCTCCTTCCGCCGTGCTGTGAAGACCTTTTTATTCCATCAAGCGGGCTTGGCCTAATCTCTTCCCTTTTTAAATATGTAAATTTTAATCTGTTTTTAAATTATTGGGGTATTTTAATTTGTCTGGGCCAAATAATTTAATTTGATTTTATCGGGTTTTTAAATTTTGTGTATTTATGTATTTTATTGTTGGCTGTTCACCGCCCTGAGTCCTTCGGGAGTAGGGCGGTATACAAATCAAATAAACTAAACTAAACTAAACTAAACCGCAAGTACTGGGGTGATATTAGATCGCTGGTTAGGCCTTTCAACCGCGTGGCTAATTTTTCTAAGATGGCGGACAGACGCAGCCAAACTGCGCCATGCTCGCCAAGCCCGCGATAAAGGAAAGAGGCCCCGGGTGGAGGACCCTGAGGAAGGGACTTCGAAGGGTCGGCCCAGCAAATCCAGGGCTATTAGCGCCAAGTCTTCCTCCCAGCTCCCCTCATCTAAATCATCACGAGAGGAGGAGAGACGCCATAAGGCTATTGAACGGGCCTTCCACAAGGCCCAAGCTGCTGCTGGCCTGCAAGGATATCCTACACAGGCAGAGGCCCAGTCTAACGATCCTCCCTCTGATAAGGCTCCTTCAAATCCAACCCAGGGGCCTGTTCCATCCTTATCGCCGGATAGATCTGTTGTGGGGGACATTGTTTGTGATTCAGAGGTGGCCTCTGTTTTCCCTGGTACTCATGAGGCATCTGCTTCCTCTGGAGCTGCCATCCTGTCCTATCTTCTGATCAGGTCTCTCAGCCCATACCTGAGATTACACCTGCATTGGCTGCTATAATTTCTGAGGCCATTCGCCAAGGTATCTCCCAAGGGCTTCAGCAAAAATCTAGTCCACCTTCTGAGGCTTCTGCTCATTCCAGTCTACGACGACACTCTGGCGCCCTTCCTTCTCAGGATGATGTAGAGCCTGTCTCTGAGGCTGGTGACCCGGATGAATCTGTTAGCCAAGATTCCCTTTCAGAAGGCGAGATCATGGCTGATCAGGACCTGTCGGATGATGACGGCCTGGAACCTGACCAACCGGCGTTTATTGGCCTTTTCAGGCCACAGATGTTTCGTTCACTGCTTCACAAGGCCCAAATAGTTACTGGGCTTGGTTTATCAGCTTCTTCTTCTTCCTCCTCTTCTGCAGGCGCTGCTGCTTCTACTTCTGGGGATCCAGCCAATGCCCTGTTCCAGGAACCATCAGTTCAGAAGGAAATGGTCCCTGCTCCAAAATTATTTTCCGATGTGGTTGTCAGGCAATGGACTCTTCCAGGTTCTGGGCCTGCCCCCAATAATCTGGACAAACGCTTTTTCAATATGGCCCCTGAATTGCAGGTTCCTTCAATTGACCCACCTGTTTTGGCATTGTCTTCTTCCTCTCCTCTCACAGGTCCTCCTGAGGAATGCTTGCAGCCAGAGGAAAGGAAGGCTGAGCGAACCTTGATTAAAGGTCATCAGGCCTCGGCGTGGGCTGTGCAGGCCTCTTCTGCAGCATCATTTTTCAATAGAGCAACTATTCTCTGGCTCAGGCAGTTACAAGCTCGTTTGCCTGCTTCAGATCATCGCTCTCATCAGGACCTGAATAAGATCTTAGCGGCCATAGAATTTTCTGCAGACGCCACTCTCAGCGCGGCCCGCTTCTCTGCCAAGGCCATAGGATCCACAGTCACCTCACGTCGCCTCTTATGGCTTCGCAACTGGCAAGCTGACATCAGAAGCAAGTGGCGGTTGGCTTCTTCACCGTTCTCTGGCGAGAAACTCTTTGGCTCCCAACTGGATCCACTCCTCGTGGAAACCAAGGATCACCGCAAGGTACTTCCTTCCCTTAACCGCCGCTCGGACAACAGGGCTCAACCCTTTTTTCGTCCCTCTTCGTCCTTTCACAACTCAGATTCCTCCTTCTCAACCCAGCGTTCTCAACGTACCTATTCTTCCAGGGGTCCTTCCCACCAGGACAACCAGGTTAGACAGGGGTCTAGATTTGGCTTTAAGCGGCCTTTCCGTGGGGGTAGGGGTCGCCCCTTCCGCAGAAACCGGTAGGTCCCTTCGGGATCCTTCAATAGGGGGCCGACTTTCCCGATTTGCAGACATTTGGGACAGCACTGTCTCAGACGCCTGGGTCAGGTCCACTATTCATTTCGGTCTCTCCTTAGAGTTCCGTTCCACTCCCCCAAAATTTTTCTTGCAATGTCCTCCTTCCCGGGATCACATCAAGACCGCTCACATCAATTCGGCTATCCAACACCTATTGGACATTAAGGCTATTGAGTCAGTCCCCAACGCAGAGCGGTCGCAGGGTTTCTATTCCCGTCTTTTTCTGGTTCCCAAATCATCTGGAGGTTGGCGTGCCATACTGGACTTAAAGTCCTTAAACCGGCACATCGTTTATCGCCGGTTTAAGATGCAGTCGCTGCAAACTATTTTACTGGGGATTAGACTGAGCGACTACATGGCATCCATAGACCTAACGGAGGCCTACCTCCACATTCCAATTAGACCAGACCACCGTAAATTCCTCTGTTTTTGTCACAATGGACGTCACTTTCAATACACGGCTCTACCCTTTGGGTTATCCTCAGCCCCTAGGGTGTTCACCAAGGTGATGGCGGCCCTTATGGCTCATATTTCCTCCATTCCTATCAGAGCCATGTTCTACTTGGATGATATCATCATCCTTTCCCGTTCATCTGACCAATCTAGGTTAGATGTAGCTAGTACTGTCCGCATATTGCAATCACATGGCTTTTCTATTAATTGGGCGAAAAGCCACTTAGTGCCTACTAACCGCATTCAACATTTAGGAGCGGTTATTGACTCAATTGCTGTGGAGGTTTCCTTGTCCCAGGACCGGCAAGCCAGCCTGTCTTCCCTAGCTAGTCGGATCCGCCGTCGTAGGTCAGCTTCCTTGGCGGATCTTTCCACTCTACTGGGTAAAATGGTGTCCGCTTACGGGATCGTTCCTTGGTCTCGTCTCCACAGCAGAGAGCTCCAATGGTTGTTACTCCCCTTTCAACGGAGTCCCCCCACACTGCCCTCGCGGACGATCCAGCTCCCCTCTCCGGTGGTCACTTCCCTCCTTTGGTGGACTTCTCCAGCGATAGCCAAGGGCTGCAGG